CCCTAGGACCATCAAGGGAGAAGAGCAGAGAGCAGGACCCTACCCAGAGAAGAAGTGATGCCTGAGATGGAGCCAGAGATGACGTGGAGCGATGGAGCAGCTGGAGACTTTAGATCCAGAGAGGGAGAGTGACTGTGTGCTGAAGACCTGGGGGGTAATGGGGAAGGATTGCATGGAGGGGATTGTAACCATGGCAATGATACAATATAATGAATGTAAAACTAATGTTCTCCCATGTAAACTATCACATAATTCACAATAAAACATTTAAGAAAAAAAAGGAGACATGATGTTTAATAAAGCAGAGGGTCAATGAAATGAGGGAAACCTTCCAAGAGATGGACTGACACAAAGCAGCAATAATGGACCTAAACATACCAACCATCATGAAAATGTCTCAGGTCCAGACAACGAACGTTTCATTCTGTCATACATAAATCACCCTAAATTGGAGCTGACTGGACAGCAGCTAACAACAACAAGGATAATAGGCCAAGCAGTAGATAGGCATAGAGGAGAGTGGACCCCAACACTAGTTAGGTATGCACACTATAAAATGGTCACCCATTTGACATCAAAAGGGTAGCATTTACCCAAAGACAAAGTTCAGAAGAGTTGGGAAAGAAGGAAAAATGGAAATAGGAAATACAGGGAGGAAGTGATGTTTCATAGAGGGGATTGCAATGTTTCATCATCGAGATGAAATGACGTGTATGATTTGTTGAATGTAAAACTGATGATCTGCTCTGTAAACCCACATTCAATTCACAATAAAAAGTTTAAAATAAAAAAAGAATAGGCCTGCTGTGTTGTGATGTGGCTGCAGACTCAGCCTTTGCGTCTGATCATAGTGTGATTGATTATCTGTGGACTGCTTGTGGGTCTTGGTATTCAGGAGCTATGCAGGGAAGTTACCCGAGTGTGTGATTGTGGAAAGGGATGGTAGGAGTTTTGGGGGGTGCACATGCTCTGGAGTTCAGAATATATGAAGTTGGGGAAGTAGGAGGTTTGGTTGTGTGATTGCACAAGGAGCAATGGTGTGACTAGAGATGTGGGTGAGGAGAAAGTTTGCGAGGTGACATGTCTATGGATGAGAGGGAGGTGTGTGTGTAAGAAATTAGAATCCAGTTGTCGTTGCAGCCATGTATGGTCAAGAGCTTGGGGTTAGGAGTTGGACTGTTGAGGATTGTCGTAGTTGGGACAGTCCTGGCTCTGTTTTTGTATCAGCTGTGTGTCCTTCAGCAAGTTGCTTAACCTCTCTGAGCCTATTTTTTTTTCAAATGTGGAAAATGGGAATCGCAATAGTGTAATCCTCTCTATATAACATCACTTCTTTCCCTATGGGTTGTTGCAATAAGTAAATGGGATATTACCCAAGGTACAAGAAGTATACAAAACCAGTACTGTTATGATTATGGTTGGTAGGTCAGTACTTTTGCTTTTGGGTTTTCAAGGACAAGGGCCAGAAGAACTGTGAATATCCTTTGGGCTTGTGGGTAGTGTACAAAGCCTGATCTGACCTGCTGTGCGCAAGCCAGAATAGGATGTTGGGGAGCTGATGGAAGTAGGACCCACAAATGGTACCAGCACCAAACTGAGAAGCCAGGATTAGAACCACTCAAGGTGGTCCTATGGAGGCAGACTGGTACCCACCTGCGCTGTGCTTTGGTCCTGGCTCAGCCTCTGACTGGTTTATGACCTTGAATAAGTGGCTCACCTTTTCTGAGTTTCAGTTTCCTTGTTTATAACCTATAAATGTCCTTTCCAACTTAAAAAAAAAAATCCTTTTTTATGTAAGGCAAGAAAGAGATGGGAGCTGTAAGTATGGGTATGCATAGGTAAGGCATTTGTATGTGTGTATGTATGTGTGTGTGTGTGCCTGTCTGCCTGCCAGTCTCCTGCTGGGAACCTCATTCCCATTTCACCCTTCCCAGAAGGTAGACACATAGTTTTATCCTCAGGCTCAAAAGGTGCTGAGGAAGGGATTTGGAGTCAGACAGAGTTTGAGTACTGACTTTGTAATCGTGTGTAAGCTACTTACTCTTTTTCTAAGTCTCAGTTTCCTCATCTATAAAATGAAGATACTATTGGGATAACATTTATTAAGTACTTACTATATGCCAAGTAAATTTGGCATATAGTAAGTACTTAATAAATAAGGTCATTATGGGTCAGTACAGACTCGATGGCACCTAATAACAACAATATGTCAAGGAACCCTGATGGTGCTGTAGGTAGGGTGTTGGGGCTACTAACCACAACATCAGTGGTTCAAACCCACCAGCTGCTCTGCAGGAGCAAGATGAGGCTGTCTGCTCCTGTAAAGATTTATAGCCTCAGAAACCTATAGAGGGTTGCTAGGAGAGGACATTGACTCTTTGGCAGTGGGTTTGGGGTTTACTCTGTGGCAGGCACTGTCCTAAAAACTCTATACATTTCATCCTCACAACTTCATGAGATAAACACCATTGCTATTATCCTCATTTTTACAGACAAGGAAACAGAGGCCCTTGAGAGGTTAACTGACTTATCCATGATAACACAACTAGTGTGGTACACACAGATTTGCTGCCCAAGAGCTGCCTTCAAGGAAGGATTTGCTGCTCAGCTGTAGCAAATGTGGTCAACTGACAGTCTCCAGCTGTCAGCTCCTTCAGCATCTGCTGGTGCGGAGAGCCACCTTGTGAGGCCATGCCCTTCCTGGGCAAGCTGCATCCAGCCACTGCCAGGTGTGGCTATGACAGGCTGGGCCACTCTGATGAGCAATACTTTCTCCAGAGCTCCCCACCCTTAGCCAGCCTCTGTCAGTCCTGCTTTGCATTTTGACTTCTCCCTCTGATCAATCCTGCTTTCACTCCCTTCCTTTCATGTGTCAATCCATAATCATCATCTTGCACCACAAACTTCTCTGTGTCTGCTTCAATTTACAGTCACTACAGCGGCAGAGCTCCTGACCATTAAGTTACACTGCCTCTTAAGATGGAAATGACTTTTTGGGGTCACTATGGCTAGCTCAGTCGGTAGAGCAGGAGACTCTTAATCTCAGGATCATGGGTTCGTGCTCCACATTGGGTGCTACTAATCTGGAGTCCTGGTGTGCTGCTGTGGGTTAATGCAACAGACTGCAAAGCCGTTTGAACTGCAAGGTTGGCGGTTCAAGCTCACAAGCTGCTCCTCGGAAACCCTACACAGGGTCGTTATGGGTTGGAATCGACTAGATGGCACTTCACAAGAACATGGCACTGTAGAACTCCTGGTGTGGTGCTGTAGCATAAGCACTGGACTGCCACCACAAAGTCGGCATTTCTAATCCACTAGCTGCTCTTTGGAAATCCTATACAAGGTTGCTATAAGTCAGAACTGACTCCACAGCACTTATCAACAACAACATGGCACTGTGAATTAGGTGTTGGGCTGCTGACCACAAGGTCAGTGGTTCAAACCCACCAGCAACTCCTTGGGAGAAAGATGAAGCTGTCTGCTTCTATAAAGACTTACAGTCTCAGAAACCCTATAAATAGTGTTGCTATGAGTCAAAATCGACTTGATGGCAGTGGATATAGGAACTAAAGAAACCCTGGTGATATATATAATGGTTAAATGCTTGGCTGCTAATCAAAAGGTAAACAGTTTGAACCCATTAGCAGATTCCGTAAAGATTTATAGTTTGGAAACTATGGTAGAATTGACTCACCGGCCAACAGGTCTTATAATGGTTAAGTCCCTGGGTGACGCAAATAGTTAAGCGCTTGGTTACCAACCAAAAAAATAGTACTTAGAAGCAACCCATAGGAATCTTGAAAGAAAGGCCTGGCTATCTTTCTGGCAATCTGCTTCTAAAAGGTCACAGCTTTGTAAGCTTTATGGAGTGCAGTTCTACTGTAAAACACACGGGGTTGCCCTAAGTTCTTATTTTATTATAAAATAGTGATAAATGAGGTAGTAGCTGGAACATTGTAAACCAAAAATGAAACCCACTGCTATTAAGTTAATTCAGACTCATGGCAACCCAGTGTGTGTCATAATAAAACTGCATTCCAAAGAGTTTTCATAGAAAAGGCTCAGTAAATAGTTGTTAGTAGTATTATTGCCCCAGATGAGCAATATCCTTTACCTGTCTCTCCTTCCCAGAAAAGGTGCTAGGAATACAGTTCCCAAACCCCAAGTCGGCTGAAAGTCTCAGTTCCGGTGAGTGTAGGATTGAGGATGGACGGGGAAGGTAGTGGAGTGTGGTGAGTGGACAATGAACCAGAGCCCTCCCTGTCCACGCTGCCCTGAAGGAGGTATGGGTGTGTGTGTGTGTGTGTGTGTGTGTGTGTGTGTAAAGGGGTGGGGGCCAATAAAGGGACCAAATACAGCAAAAAAAAAAAGATACACACACACACTTCCAGGGACAGCCAAGTTGAACTCCGTGTGTTATCCTCGTCCGAGGAGTCTGCCAGGCGTCCTCCAGATTCTAGCAGCAATTACGAATCTTCCTGTATCTTCACCCAGCCCTATCATGGTATCCGTTTCTCCTTTCCTGTAGGCCTGCCCACTAAGATGACTTTCTTCCTCTTAAGTCTGCCTGTTTCCCCTCTCTTCAGGAGGGAAGTCCTTTCTGAAGTCTGACCTCCATCTCTTGTGCTGCAGTGACAGACTATCCCCAGGGATTTGGGCTTCATTAGGAACTAGGCAGGGGATCCTAATTCAATACTAAGATTAAGGAATGATTAACATCATTATTTATCCCAGAAGAGCCAAGTCTTTGTAACCAGACCCTCCTCCACTCCCACAGCATGCTTTCTTTACATCAGAAGGGGTGGGGAGGGGCCTTGTAAGAGATAAAAACTTGGAAGAATCCCTCTTTGGTTCCATCGCTCTTTCTGGATCTCTCTAAGCCTTCCTCTCCCCGCATAAGCCCCAACTCACCCTTGAAGACAAAGTTATAATCCTCCTCGGTTCTGTTCCCCATCTTGACTCCGCATGGAGGGTAGAGAGTCTTTGGGGACAGAGGTGATGGGTCTGTACGTAGACTCAATGCCTTCAGCCCTCAGCTCTCAATAGGCCTGGACCTGCCCCTCCTCTCATTGGGGTTAAGAAGACTTCTGAAGCCAAAAGGATTGAGGGCCGACTCAAGGCTAGGCAGGGCCTGGGAAGGCTCAGCTCTGGCAGGTGGGGGTGCTGTAGGAAGCTGAGAGGACGGAAGCTAAGAACAGGAAGAGCTGGGTGGCTGGAGACCTGAGGCCCAGGTGGGTGGAGAAAGGATGACGTCAGACAGGTTAGACAGGTTGGGTGTCTGCTCTCAGCTTGGGCACCTAGAAGCAGGTGAGCAGGCTACAGGGGTGGCAGTGGGAACAGAGACAGAACCTATGAAGAAAGTCAGCTGAAGACAGAGTAGGCATTGCTGGGACCTGTGGCAAGTGGGAGCCCAGCCATCTGTGCACTAGAAAGCCCTTCAGGAAGCAGAAACCCACTTGGCCATTTGCTTTTCCTTCAAAGCAAGGTACCAAGAGTTTCTGGGGAGGGTGGACTGGGAAAATTAGAGGAAGGGCTGTTGGGACTAGTCCCCCTGCTACAGTACAGAGCTGTGGGAGGTGCAACATAGCCTCTTCTGCCCCTCCCTGCAGCACACAGCTTGGGATGGGCAGGGTTTCTCACCCTGGGTGGAGCTGGGACTTGCAGCCTGACCTGATTCCCTAGGATTGGTCCCTATTTCAGCACCCGAGCTCCCTGTACTGGGATGGGGAGACCAAGGGCAGAAATAGCCAGATAGAGTGAGGGGTCTGTGTAGAGTGGCAGGATTTGCAGATGAAGGCCTCAAGAGAGGCCCATTTCTGGGTTTCTTTTACTCTCTCCCCAGGCCTCATAGCAAAGGCATCCTGTCTACAAATGATTTCAAGAGCCACACATCCTGTCTGGGATAATCTATCATGATTAATTATGTATTATAATGTTCCGATTTTTCTTTTTCAAGTTTTCTATTATATTAGAATCCTATATTAGCCTATCTTTTCTTATATTACATTTATATTATGTTTGTTTCTATTATAAAACTTTCTATTGACATTTAAAAAAAAAAAGGCCTCAAGATCTGGAGGGGATCTGAGCACATCAATGCCTGGGGAAAATGAGGCAGTGACATGGGTAGACACCTTGTGGGTAACATGGAGGCACCTTCCCAACCCCAAAGGCAGAGGTTAACCCTCCCACCCCCTACAAAGCTTGAAATGAAGGACACTGGGCCTGATAAACATTATCCAACATGACCCCTACCACACTCTGCTCCTCTGAGTCCCCCCCTAGGTGGGTATGATTATGCTTGACTCACAGAGGCTTGGTAAAATCACACTACTGGAGAGGCTAAGGGAGTAGGGGCACCACTGCCTAAACCATTTGGTTTGGGGAGATCATGGTAAAGGAGTGGGTAGAAATCTGCCCTTGATGAACATGAGGAATCCTGCTTTTCTCCCCACTTCCTCCAATCATTCTCACCCAAGAAAGAAGCCAATACCAAAGAAAGGAGTTTATTCTTGGAAAAACAAAGTCTCATCCTCCCACCACAGCCCAAGAAGGTATTCTCAAGGATCCTGCCCCTCCAAACAGTCATCTCTTTTCTGACCCCAGCTTCCATCTCTATCCATTATGATGCTGCTACTTGTGTGAGGGGCTCTTCCAGGTACTGCACCAAGGCCTGGGCCTGCAAAAGGGGGAGCACATATCAGTCCCACAGTGGCCTTCCGCTAGAGGGGTCCAGGATCCAGGATCCAGAATCTACACACCCTAGTGCCATGTGCTCTGCACACCCAGCCCCAGCATTAAGTCTGCTTCTAGTAGATAGATCATACCAGGCATAGACTGGGTGAACGTGGGAAGGGCCCCAGAAAGGGAGTGGACATGGTGATGAAACAAAAAGATTATAGAGGGATGGGTGCATACACACCTTGGCTTTGAGCATTCCGAAGCCCACAGTCTCCTTGGCATACATACAAAGCAGAAGGTTGGCCACTCGGGTGATGGCCACACGGCCCTCCTGGTGGGAGAAGGCATATGATGGGATGTGATATCCTTCTGGGCACCCTCAACCTCCTACTTCCCCAAGGGCTCCTCTGGCCTCAAAAGGATTGCATGCCTGGGTACAGCAAGAGGTTCAGCTGGTGACTTTGGCTTCAGCTTTGGATATGGGGTGCTGAGCCTGGGTTAGCCTCCACACAGTCCTATTTTAATCAAGTTACTCTGAAAAACTTACTTAATCTCTCTAAAACGTGGCTTCTCTTTCTGTAATCCCAGCCACTCTCCATTTGGTGGAAGTACCAATACATACAAAGGAGTCTGTATCTGCAATGGGCTGCTAAATGGGGGATGTTGCTATTATGGGCTGTGAGGGACTTGGGAGCAATAACTCAACTTTTATTTCTCTTAGCAATGCTTTGCAAACTGCAAGTTTGACTTCAGGGTTAGGAGATTAAGTTAAAAGGTTGATCAATCAACATTTTATAATGCTGGGCTAGGCACTCTTAGGGATCATCTGTTGAACAGAAATGACACCCTTGATTGGGCACAGGGTAGGGAAGAAACAGGCAGCCAAATTACAGTGGAGACCCTTCCTGAAGAGTTCACCCTTGGGGCCCATTTAAATTTTTAGTTTATTTTATTTGTGAATTATATGATAGTTTACATGAGAGAACTTTAGTTTTACATTCATTCCATCGTATATCGTTTCATTGCCATGGTTCCGATCCCCTCCATGCATCATCAACTGATCAAAGGGTATACCCTACAAACCTGCCCCCTGCACTCCCCCCCATCCCCCCAGTCTTCAGCACACAGTCCCTCTCCCTCTCTGGATCCAAAGTCCCCAGACGCTTCATCACTCCACGTCATCATCTCTGCCTCTATCTCGGACCTTGCTGCTTCTCTGGGTAGGGTCCCGCTCTCGGCTCTTCTCCGTTGACAGTCCTAGAGACCTCTGCTCCTAGACTGGAGAATTAATCACTCCCTTCCTTGCTATAAAATGTCTACCTTTACATTTCTAACCCTCACAATCAGTCCTGATAACAATTATTCACTATAGTATCACAAGTGACCAATCTGCATTTCATTTCATCAACTCCGCCTAGACAGATTGGATAGTACTCACTGGAGATTCTGCCTTCCTCCATGCCCCCTAGCTCTAGGTTCCCTCTTGAAAGCTTGTAAGCCAGTCACTTCTTGCCTTTGTAGTCCCCCCCACCCATTTGGGTATCCAATGTCCAAGTTGCCCATCTCTGTCTACTCTGTGTGTGAAGAGGGTGGGAATGTTTCTTGCTGTAAGGATTTGTTCCCTCTTTTGAGTCACTGCATCTGTAGGTGTAGGTCAAGTTCATCAATTGTATCAGATCACTCTTTTTTTCTCTTCTTTCTTCTCCTGGTTGAGCTCTGATCATACAGTCATCCGGGCCAGGTCATGTGGGTACCATCTGCAAGTGTGGGCGTTCTTGTGCACCTGTCCTCTCTTCCCATCAGCTGGTAGCTCCACTCTCCACTCGAGTCCTCCGTGGCCAGGGGCCCATTTAATGTTGTTCAGCAAATCTTCAGCAGTGAGGTGCCTCTCTGGTCTCATTCCATGTTCATGTTACTCCAGTCCCATTAGCCTTGCTAGTCCTTGACCAGGCATCATTCTGCCACAGGGCCTTTATACTTGCTGTTCCGTCAAAAGTGTTATTCCCTTAGCCACACAGCCTGCTTTCCAACTTTCTTCGAATCTTCCATCAAATATTACCTTGACACATGCTCCTTATACTCCTATCTTATACCCTATCTCCCTTTGCTGCTTATTCTGTACCATAGCATTTTCACTACCTAACATACTGTATACTGTAAGGAGCTCTCTGGTAGCATAGTGGTTACGAATCAGGCTGCGAACCTTGAGGTCAGCAGTTTGAAACTACCAGCTGTTCCACGGGAGAAAGATGAGAAGTTCTGCTCCCATAAAGATTTATAGCCTCGGAAACCCTGTACAGGGTCGCTATGAGTCGGTTCCGACTCCACGGCACATAACCACCACCACCACCCACCCAACATACTGTATATTTTACTTACTGGCTTCCTGAGGGCTGAGGATTTTGTCTATCTTGTTCACTACTTTCCCCCTTAGTCCCAAGAACACTGTACTAACTATGAGGGAGCTTCAAAAAATTGTGGAAAAATTCTACTATCTTTTCATTCCATTTTTCCAGGAATTTTTTGAAGACCTCTTATATTTTCTGAATGTTGTGTGCCATTGAGTTGTTTCTGACTTGATGCTGGACAGGTTTCTCTCTGAGAGCAGCTAGTGGATTTGAACTGCCGACCTTGCAATTAGAAGTTCAGTGCTTAGCCTACAGTGCCACACCAGGGGTCATCTGTTGAATAAGCAGATACAAAAGTGAGTCAGGCAGTCCCTGTTCCCAAGGAGTTCACAGTCTAATGGCAATTTCCCCGTCTCTAGACATCATTGCCTTTTTCTGTAAACTGAAGGGGTTGGACTAGGGTCTGCCAACTTTACGGTTTTGTGAGTCACTGAGTCTGAGGCAACAACACCTTGTGTTTGTACATCACTCTATAGTTTATATCCATTCTTTCACTTGATCTTCAAAAGACCCCAGTGAGGGAGTGATTAACTTCACAGTCCAGGAGAAGAGGTCCCTGGGACCATCAAGGGAGAAGAGTGGAGAGCAGGACCCTACCCAGAGAAGCAGTGACGCCAGAAATGGAGGCAGAGACGATGACATGGAGCTAGGGACTTTAGACTCGGAGAGGGAAAGGGGCTGTGTGCTGACGGCTGGGGGGGGGTGGGCAGGCTTGCAGGGGGATACCCTTTGGTTGGCTGATGATGCATGGAGGGGATTGTAACCATGGCAATGAAACAATATAGGATAGGATGAATGTAAAACTAATATTCACAATAAAACATTAAAAAAATCCAAAAAACCAAAAAACCCAATGAGTTATGCAAAGGTGTGTATGTGTTATTGTTTCCACCCTGGTGATGAGGTAGCTCAGAGAAGTACTGTAAAAGCTAAGTGGCTGGCTGGAAACCAGAACCCCAGTGAGACCTCAGGTTCACAACTCCTTCCTCATCATCACTTGAAGCATGGGCTCTGCCTATTATAAATGTTGCTGCAGATCAACTCTTAAGACTCTTCCACAGACTCTGGTCCGGTCCTTCCAAACATCCAGGATGGGATCCGGGTAGCCCCTTAGGGATACCTTTGGAGGCCAGAGGAAGCCAAGCCACCCTTTCCATACCATGCAGTCCATGAGGATGAATTTGAGATTGTCTTCGTTAAACGCTTGGTTCCCGTTCCGGTCGTAGGCCGCCCAGATGTTACTGGCGATGGCCGCAGTGACCCGGGCATCCGTGTCTCCGTAACCCGAGTATGCCAGCAGCGATCCCTCGTTATTCAGCAGCCTGACGTGGGGTAGAGAGAGTTATCAACGTACTCAGAACAAGGATTAAAACTCCTAAATTCCCATCCCAGCTCCCACCACTGGCCATTCAAATAAGTAAGGGTCTGGTCTGAGTGTGTCCCGGAACACGCCCCGAGCAACCAGCACGCCAGCTTCCCTTTACGAGAAAAGCCCCTCAACGCCGGTTTTCCTAGCTTCCCCACCTACTGCCCGCTCCACCGCCTCTTTTTTTTCAGCAATCCTTTCCTTCCCCTCCATCAGAGAGCCGCGCGCCGCCCCGGTCCTTGGTCCTCACTCACAGGGTGCTCTGGACGCCTCCAGTGTTGGCTTGGCTTAGCACCTGGGTCAAAGCCTTGGGGCGCAGCATGCCAGCGGATCCAAATCCCACTCTGATATCCGGGGTTTGTTCTTGCTGGCCTTCACCTGCCAGTTCCCGTAGTCCAGCTGCCCTGCCTCGAAATGCCCTGGGAATTGTAGTTTCCTGGCTTGGTTATTGTGGTCATCTTTTAACTCCCTCCTACCGCAGAGGATCCTGGGAAGTGTAGTTCCCTTTGATCTCGCGAGGCACCCTGGGAACTATAGTTTGCCAATCCGACCACGCGGCTATGGGGGTGAAAAGAGCGGGAGTAAAAGGCCCTTGAAAGTATTGGAATGACATTTAACCCCTTCGAGGCGAGAGAAGGCGTCTTGTTCATTTGACAATTCAATAATAATAATAACAAAATCTGTGTTTGTCAAACACACCTTTGGTTACTTTCCATAGCAGTTTTCTATGTTACGTATCTCTGTGAGGTGAGGCTATGTTGTTGTTGTTAAGTGCCGTCAAGTCGGTTCCGACCCAAAGCGACCCTGTATCGTGTTTCCGAGGAGCAGCTGGTGAGCTTGAAGCACCGATCTGGCAGATCAAACTAACTGTGCAGCCCAGCGCATTAGGTATTAAGTTGAGGGACTCTAGGCTCAGAAAGTCCACGCAAGCATAACCCAGGTCTCTGAAACCGTATTGAATCGTCCTTCCTTCAAGCTACAACCCTTAGGAGAAATAGGGTCAATCCTAGACATGAGACGTCCAGAGGTGGGCGAATTTCAATCTCCAAATCGTGAAAGAAGGGCCTGGAAGGGATCTGGGCCTCTCAAGAAATACCAAGTTATCACAGAATGGTGATAAAGCAGCGACACAGAAAGTCCTTTGTCCCGTAGCGGGAGTTACCCGCGGGGAGGGCGGGGGCAACCTCGGGCCGGACAAGACCGCGGCGCAGCTCAGGTCAGTTAGGGTGGGCAGTGGTCTTCCGCCGGGAAGCAGTCCTCCGCTCCCCGCCCTGGAATGAAGGACAAGCCCCGCCCCGGCCCAAACCCGCTACAGGGGTTACAGTCCTGCAAGGCCCAGTTCAGCCTACCGAACCCTGGGCTCGGCCCTGGGCAGACCTCGTTGCAGTGGCCCCCCCAGTCCGCCCGGGGCGCTGTGGCTGCGGCTAGTCCGGAGGGGGTGGCGAAGCCTTGGGGAGGGGAGGAGAGAGGGGAGTGCTGGAGGCTCCTGAGCCGAGCCGGGCCGGCGGGGCGGGCAGGGAAGAGGAGGAGGAGGAGCCGAGGCGGGCTGGCGGGCGGCCGGGTGGCGGCGGCGGCGGCGGCGGCATGGCGGAGCCAAGCGGGGCCGAGACGAGGCCCCCCATTCGGGTCACCGTCAAAACCCCCAAGGACAAGGAGGAAATTGTGATCTGCGATCGAGCCTCGGTCAAGGAGGTAGTGCGGGTTGCGGGGGACCGAGCGCGGAGGAGGGGTCTCTGAGGAGATGTGTGTGTGGGGGGGGTTCTGAAAGACAGTCAGGGAGACCTGGAGGGCCCTGGAGAGAAGGGCAGGGGTCCTGCAGGAGCAGGAGGGAAGGAGAGGCGGGTAGGGGGCGCCCTGCGAAAGGTAGATATATAGGGGAGTGTGGCGCGTGTATGGGGGGGGGGCGGGGGTTTGCTGTGTGGCTCGGACTGGGGGCGTGGTGGAGAGTGGTGAAGGGGCACCTTGTACCCGGGGTTTGAGGGGAATGTGGTCCTGTGACTGGTCAGAGTTCGAGGCGCCAAGGCCGAGTCGGGTGCACCGTAAAGGTGTTGAGCCTGGAGAAGGGGCCGGGGGGCGCAGGCGGAGAGCGCCGGATGCCTACGGTGTGACTCCTAGGACGCCCAGCGGTTTTAGGTGAAAACCTGCCCAGGTGGGGAGGAGAAGATTTTCCTTTGCCCAGATCTTTTCTACTCTTTCAAATCGAAGTGGTTCTTTTTGATTCTCAGCTCTCAGGGATTTACGCAGTGTGCAATAGATGCTCAATAAAAATATGTTGAATGATAGAATATTGCCTGTGTTCTTCACCCTCAGTGGCTGCTCCAAAATTTCACATAGGCGGGGCTTAAGATACACCATCTGGTTGGAAGAGAGGGAATCTGAACTGCTTTTGCCTTGCAAGTGCACTGCTTTTACTTAAGAATGTTTGTTTTTTGTTTGTTTTTAGGAGAAGAGCTGATAGAATTTGGGGTTTCTAGCTCTGCCTAAGGCAGCCCTTCATGTCACCACTCACATTGCCTCTCAGCCTTATAAAATGACTCTATTCCAAATTTAAATCCCCTTTCCTGCACAGCTGATTTTGAAATCAGCTTCAATTGAGATACAATGTGTCTGAGTTTAAGAGCCTGGTCAAGACCTGAGCCCCATTCTACTTAGGATAATTTATTTAACTTCTCTGATCCTCAATGCTGATTAGTAATTAGTACATATCTTACAGGACTTAGACTGTTACTGGTAAATAGAAAGTGTTCAATAACTGGGATCTATTTATTGTAGTTTAGGGAACTCTGGAGCAGGAACTGGGAATAAAGGGGAGAAACTTGAGGTCTGAGAAGAAAAAACTGAAAGGAGACAGGGTCTGTCTGGGTTCAAGGAATTGGGATGAGGAGGTTTGCCCAGGCAGTGCCCTCACAGAAAGCTGGGTGGAGGGACTGAAGTGGGATGGCTGCAGCAAGGGCTTTCTAGGGTGGGAAACCCTGTTTGGAGCTGACTTAGAAGAGCCTGGCCTGCTTGGTTAAGAAAGAAGCTGCTGGTTTCAACTTGAGAAGTACAGTAGATGTATACTGACTTCCCATGTCTAGAGGTGGGAGTTGTTGTTAAATGTCGTGAAGTCGGTTCCAACTCATAGAGACCCTGTATAGGGTTCCAAGAAGTGGCTGGTGGATTTGAAATGCTGACCTTGTGGTTCAAAGTCTAGTGCTGATCCTACAGTGCCCCACCAGGAGTCCAGAGGTGGGAGTAAGGGAATGTAAAAGCTCTTGAAGAAGAGGCAGGGTCCCTAGTGGGTGGGACCCAGGCAGCCTCCACAGGGATCTCTGTCTCTTGATCCCAGTTCAAAGAGGAAATCTCCCGGAGGTTTAAGGCCCAGCAGGACCAGCTTGTCTTGATCTTTGCCGGCAAGATCCTCAAGGATGGGGACACACTGAACCAGCATGGGATCAAGGATGGGCTCACTGTCCATCTGGTCATCAAGACCCCTCAGAAGTAAGTTTTGAAGCTGAGTAACCAAGCTTCTGATTGGGCCTCTCGCTCTCACTTTCCCATCTGAGGCTTTCACACACATCAGCTCATCCCAACCTAGAGGGTCTTATGCCACAGCCTGGGAAGGTGGCTCATGGATGAATTTTCAGACAGCACTATAATCTTACCTCCTTCGTGGCCTTCCTGGGGAAGGAATGTCCTGAAGACAGTTAATAAATACTACCTTCTCCCTCACTCTAGTTTATTGGCCTCCCCTCCCCCTCCCTCTTCCTGCCTCAGAGTCATAGTTAGGATAGTAGCTGCCCAGTAAAGAAAGCGCAATCTAATCTTTGTAATGCCTTCCTTGTTCTTGTGGTATGCAGTCTGACTAGGATTCTCCTTTCTCTGTCCCCAGGGCTCAAGACCCAGCTGCTACCACTGCTTCCTCCCCCTCCACTCCTGACCCTGCCTCTGCACCCTCCACCATGCCTGCTTCACCTGCTACCCCTGCCCAGCCCTCTACCTCTGGCAGCACCACGTCAGATGCTGGCAGTGGAAGCCGGAGGAGCAGTGGCGGGGGTCCCTCCCCAGGAGCTGGGGAGGGACCCCCCAGTGCTACTGCATCCATACTCTGTAAGCCCCTAGAGAGAAGCGTACATTCCTGTTTGGGTCTGGGGAGTTGGGGAGAGCCAAGAGGAGGGAGAAACATGGCCCCTGACCCTGGTCTGGCAAGAATAGATGACCCTGAACATAGGATTCTAAGCAATGGTATTTGAACCAAACCTGGGTGGAGCCTAGTCTGTGAGGCTTTTTGGAGGAGGAGAGCCTGGCTAAATGTTAAGAATGAGGAGAGAAATGGGACTGGGGGGTGAGGGAACCCTGGGTGAGGCTATTGGGGGAACCTGTGTATTTGGGGAAAAGTCAAACCCTGTGGTAATCTAAGTCTCTACAATCAAAGAGGTCTTCTGCTAATCTACTGACATCCCTGCAGTGGATCAGAGTGAGGCTGTGGGAGTAAGTGGGAAAGGGAGCTGTGAGAAGCAGAGGACAGATGGGGTCCATCCTTTAGATACCAATTCAGTGGCTTTGGCCAGGTGGGGTAAAGGCTGCTGGAGCAGAAAGTGATCCTGCCCCCTCCCCACAGCTGGCTTTGGGGGTATCCTGGGGCTGGGCAGCCTGGGCTTGGGCTCCGCCAACTTCATGGAGCTACAGCAGCAGATGCAGAGGCAACTGATGTCCAACCCCGAGATGCTGTCACAGATCATGGAGAACCCGCTGGTCCAGGATATGATGTCTAACCCTGACCTGATGCGTCACATGATCATGGCCAACCCCCAGATGCAGCAGCTGATGGAGCGGAACCCTGAGATCAGCCACATGCTTAACAACCCAGAGCTCATGAGGCAGGTGGGTACAAGAGAATGTGGGGTGGGTGAGGAGTACCTGGAACCCAGCCTTGCCTGGCCCAGCCTTTTCCTACCTGTCCTACATGGATTTGTGTATTCATTCATTCAGCAGCTATGTCTAAACATTGGAGGTGCGGGCGGCGATGAAAGGACACAGGCATAGCTTTCTCAGCAGGAAATAAAACAGGTTAATAGGCCATTAGAATATAGTGTGGTCAGTGATGTCATAGGGATCATCATAGCATTCTCCTTGGAGCCCAGAAAAGGGCAGGAGGCCTCTTGGAAGAAGTGTTGTTCAAGCTGAGAGCCAAAGGAAGAGGACAGTGAATCAGGGGAAGGAAATTAGAAGAATGCCCTAGGGCAAAGGGACAGTAAAAACAAAGGTCTGGAAATGAAAAAGACTGGGGTGTTTGAAGAGTAATGTGGCTGGACAGGGTCCATGCAGAAGGCAGTTTTGATGCTGGTCTCTGGGCGCTCCATCTCCTGGCCTACTCACTCTACTAGGGGACCAGAATAGATGACTTGCCCAGCAGAGCTGTGGGCACCTGTGTTAACCTCATTAGAAAATAAGTTCCAAGAGGACAGGAATTTTTGAGTGTTTTTTGATCACTGTCTAGAACAGTGCCTGGTACATGGTTGTTACTGTTAGGTGACATCAAATCGATAGTTGATTCATAGTGACCCCATGTTATAGAGTTTTAGACTATAATCTTTATGGAAGCAGATTGCCATATCTTTCTCCCACGGAGCCGCTGAGTGAGTTCAAGCCGCCAACGTTTTGGTTAGCAGCCAAGCTTAACAACTGCTCCGTCAAGGCTCCTTTGGCACATAGTAGACATTCAATAAGTATTTATTGCATGGCTGAATTGTGGGGCAAGACATGTAGTCCATAACTTAGAGAAGAGGCAAGTGAGAAGCAGCGTGGGAAGGAGGGAGGGATGGTGAAGAGGAAAGGTAAGCAGGATTCCAACAAGAAGTAGTGATTCTCATTTTTTCCATCATGCATTCCTCTCCCCTTGGGTTGGCACAGGTCACCCCTTAATTGAGCATGAACCATTGCCCCTACTCTTGGCATTTCTCAAGGTACAATCTGGCCACAGACCTGAGCTGAAGGTGAGGGTTAGAGGGTGTTGGCAGCATTCTCCCAACTTGAATCCTTCCTCTTCTTTGTGGCAGAATGGTCTTGGTCACCCAGAGTGGCCTGACCTGGCAACCTGGCTATACCACTAAACTCGCTGGGTATCCCCAGGCAGCAAGTAAGTTAACATCTCATCTGCAAACTAGGGATAGAAATGCCTACCTGGGTCGATTATTTTGAGGATTAAATGACTTAAGTTCTGTATTTAGCCCAGTGCTTGTATGTAATACGGGCGTGCTAACTAATTGCAATGCTGGCAGTTCAAGCCCATCAGCTGCTTTGCAGAAGAAAGATGAGGCTTTTTTCTTGTAAAGATTTACAGCCTTAAAAACCCTTTACAGGGCCACTATGAATTAGAATCCACTCATGACAGTAGATATAGTAGATGTATGCAGTAGGATGCTCATTAGATGTTAATTTTCTTTTTTCTGCCCCCCTTCTCTCAGCTCTCTTCTTAGCTCTGATGCCTCTGTGCACCCTGACACTCCTGTGGAACCTCTGTGGTCTTGAGGGCGGAAAGCTGCTGCTCACACTTAGCTGGGTTCATTATCCCCTACTTGAAAAAGCTAACCAAAATATCCACAATGAGGCAGTTTAAAGCCAAGATTACAGTAGTCCTGTTTACCATACTCCCTACTACTGTGGAGCAGTTCCTAGGTCCTGAACTCTGCTCCTGATGCAGACTCCCCTCCTCAAGCCCCACTCTTTCTAGTCTGGTGCTCCCCTGGTTCCAGGACCCATGCTGTCCCTCTCTCCCTCTACCAGACCATGGAGCTTGCTCGGAATCCAGCCATGATGCAGGAGATGATGCGGAACCAGGACCGAGCTCTGAGCAACCTTGAGAGCATCCCCGGAGGTTATAATGCCCTCCGCCGCATGTACACGGACATCCAGGAGCCCATGTTCAGTGCTGCCCGTGAGCAGGTAGGCATTGTTGCTGGGAACAGTGGAAGGGAATCTGGGCTCGGGATCCAGGCAAGGTTCAGGGTACCTCTTTCTTCCCCCAAGTCCCTGATGGGTGAACCTTGGCTTGAAGGCAAGGCTAACCCAACCCAACATTGAACTAGAAGGGAGGATAACAGAGTTCCCCAGAGAAGTGGGTGGGGCATAATGGCCAGGGGATTTTGACATTATTTTGATAAACTTCTTACACCCATAATGCAAATGTTGTGGGGCAGGTCTAGGGGAGTAGGGACAAGGGGTGGGCAGACACCTGTGCCCTAGCATGGTGTGTCTCAAGTGTGGTCCGCAGATCACCTGTATCAGAATCACCCAGGGAGCTTGTTAATGAGATTCCTGCGTACCATCCTTAAGCTATTTATTGACTCAGACTCTGAGGTTTCTGTCTCAGGAATATGCATTTTCAAAAATGCTTTATGAATTATTTCTAAGTATACAAAAGGATAGATAGAAACATATCATTCTCTATATCTAGTGTCCAACTTTATCTAACCTGAACATATACAAAGGGGCTTCAAACAGTAGTTCATGGAAAAATGAAAGATAATGGAATTTTCCTCATGAACTTTTTTAAACTCCCTCCTATCAGAGTTTTCATGCTTTTTTGGGAATATGTTTTCTAAAAACTTAATTTATATTAAATACATTATGTTTGATATGTTTCAAAATTCAAAAATGTCAAAAAGTACCAAAAGGGTATTCAAAAATTGTGAAAAGGTATATAACCTAAACAAAGTACATAGAGACTCCTTCTATTTCCACCTCTTAACAATCTTTCTATCCCAGAGCTAATAATGTTAGTGTTTTACTTATTTTTCTACACTTAGTTAACATTTGCCTTTAACTAAGACTTTGCAGATAGAATTGCAGCCTTAATGTACCCCTCCCCACCTCCCTTTCCAGAAATAATTACTACCCTGAAGATGATGTTTATCATTCCAGTTCATTTTCTTATGTTTTTATTACCTGTGTGTATATCCAAAAAAAAATCTATAGTACTGTTCTGCATATTTTAAACCTCATTAAAGAAGTGGCATACTGTTCATACCATTTTTAACTTGCTTTAAGCATTTAATAAAAAACGTTTAACACTTTTAAAGTGTTTTATTTAAGGATAAATACATACAGCAAAGCACACCTATTATAAGTGTACAATTTGGTGGCTGTTCACAAACTGAACACAGCCCCCTAACTAGCATCCAGATGTGAGGTTGAGATCTCACATTCCTTTTTCCTTTGGATAACCAGTTTGCCAGCCTTGTATACTGAGTGGCCCACGCTTTCCCAGCGACTTGTTTATGCCATCTCTGCCCTACACCAGGTTTCCATAGATGACTTTTACTTTTGCTGACTGTGCTGTCAGATTGCTCATCCTTTGCACTGGTATCTCATTGTCTGAAATACACCTTGGTATCTGCTAGAGTGAACCTCCCACCTTGTTCTTCAGCATCATCCTAGTTATCTTGGCATTGCTCTCTCAGATAAATTTTAGAAATTGCTTGTAAGGAGATGAACTATGAATTTTAAAAGAAATTCATCATTTTCTTTTACTTCAGTTTTTCATTAAATTTTTTTTTAATCATAGTAATGTGCCGAATAAAAAAAACACATGGTTGAGAAAGGCTTATAACGAGCACTCCAGCTAATTCTGATGCACACTGAGAACCACTGTTTTAGCTAAAAGGACATAGCTTTCGACATTAACAAACCTGGGTTCCTATACCTATGCCACCATTTTCTAGTGTGATGTCAAGCGAGTTGCTTAATCTTTCGGAATCTTTCAGAAAGTAAGTGTAATATGTTACAGCAGAAATTTTCAACTTTTTTGGTCTCTGGACCCCTTTATGCTCTTAAAAACAGAGGACCCCAAAGGGCTTTTGTTATTGTGGGTTATGTAAATAATTCTCTTCCAAAACCGACATTTTAAAGGAAATCTTGGCCTTGTTTGACAATTTTTGCAGCTCTTTTTCATGCCTGGCATATGATAAGATAGGTGGATTCTCTGCTCTGCTTCTGCCTTTGGTCTGTTGTCATGTCACATGTTATGTAGCCTTTGAAAACTCCACTGTAGCCTCATGAGAAAATGAGAGTGAAAAATGGTTTTGAACCTCACAGGGGTCCTCTGACCACACTTTGAGACCTGGTTCATTAGAGGGATGTTATAAGCATTTGTATAAATGTATCAGGCACACAGTAGGTGCTCAATAAATGCTGGCTGTTACCTTTTTGGGTGGATTAAGGAAAGGGTTTCAGTCCTGAGATTATACTGGGAAGAACAAAGCCAAGCCCCAGCACTAGATGAGTCTGAGCGAGTTATCAGAATAGGGAATCTAAAACAGGGACAAAGAATGAAACCGCGGTGCATGAACCCTGGCCTTCAGCAAGCCCTGTTATCTGAACAGACATCTGGTGAGGAGAAGGAACCACAGCTTAGGGCAGGAGAGTTCCTTGATCAGCTGTGGCCCCCATGACCCACTTTGAATAAACAGGAAAGTGACTGGGTATGAAACCCCATTTGGGGAGAGGCTGAGGCCATTCAGACATCTGCTTAGAATAAGGCTGCCAGGGCACTGGGAAGAAGGAGCTACCAAGCTGTGGGCCCTGAGGAAGGTCTGGGACTCTCACAGTGCCTGCTGGAGGATCCAAACAGCCTGGAAAGCAGACCCAGCGGCCATCCTGGGTACCACAGTGAGGAGCCTGGTGCTTTAGGGACAGGAAGGAATGGAGGCCTAGTCAGCTGAAGTGGCCAGTGTGAGGAGTGAGGTGGAGGAGCAATGGAAGAAGGAGAAGATCTAGGGAGTGCGCCTTCATCTGGAAGACTTGCCTGTGTGTGGCTCTGTGGTGGGGTTCCTGGTTGGACAGAGAATGGCATTTAAGGGGGCTTAGGAAATCAGGAAGAGCTGCTTTAGAGAGTTGGAACTGGCCTGGGTGGCTGGATCAAGGTTGCTGGAGACAGATCAGGGTTGAAGTAGGAGAGCCAGGTCTAACACACTCCCATTAAGCCAACAGTACTTATTGAGCACCTACTAATATTAAACACTAAGGGGTACAAAGATGACTATAAGATTGTCTGTGCTCCCTGAGAGCTACAGGAAAACCAGATCCCCCTACACAATGGGAAAGGTGAGTATAGTGGTATGGAGACACAGAGGAGATGAGAGACTTGTCAGAGGGCTTCAGTATCCAGCCATTACCATCAGCAGGGCCAGGGTGGAGCTGCCCGGTTGTGGGGCAAAGCACTGAGCTGAGGACCTCTGTGGTCTTAGAGCTTTCTCCCTTTCCTGGGGAAGGGGAGGCTGTTAGGTGAGTGGAGAGAAAGGGCCTAACCCTTGTCCCTGATTTGTTTCAGTCCTTAACCTGAAACCTTTCCCTTCTCCCAGTTTGGCAACAATCCCTTCTCTTCCCTGGCCGGGAACTCCGACAACTCGTCCTCCCAACCTCTTCGGACTGAGAATCGAGAGCCCCTCCCTAACCCCTGGAGCCCCTCGCCCCCCACCTCCCAGGCCCCCGGGTCCGGTGGGGAGGGCACCGGAGGATCGGGGACCAGCCAGGTGCACCCGACAGTCTCGAACCCCTTTGGGATCAATGCGGCTAGCCTGGGGTCAGGTATGTCCTAGGGTGGAAGGAGCTGAGTGGGGTCACCAGGGCAGCCCCTCTGCCCCAGGACTGAATGGGGTTCACACTGCTCCAGGAGATTGAAGACGGAGGTGAGACTGTATTGAAGCCACCGAGGGGGCTCTGCAGCCTGGGGGAGTAGCCAGGCCCCTCAGAGGGTAAGGGTTGGTTCTGGCCATGTCTTGTCCTTGGGAGTAGCCTAAATAGGGGCTCACGAATAAATCAGGTGCTTCTCCCCGCCTGCTCTTTGAGCACTGCCAGTACTATCCAGTATAAATGGGTCAGACTGAAGAGGGAGGTACTGGAGAGGAATCGGGCATACCCGGGGCCAGGTATATGTGAGGCTGAAGGAGAGGCTGTGCAGGGCTGATGGACAGAAGTGCAGGTTATGGGCTACACAACCATAGGGAGTTCCCCTAGTATCTGGACTATGAGCTTATCTTTGGTGGTGGTGGTGTTAAGTACCATTGAGTTGGTTCCAACTCATAGCAACCCTGTATAGGATTTCCGAGGAGCAGCTGATGAGTCTGAACCACCAACCTTGTGGTTCAAATCAACCTTGTGGTCCAGTGCTTATCCTACAGTGCCACATGAGGACTTTTTGGTAGTTATTCTGATTTCTCTGTACCCTTGGGGACATCTTAATTGGGCAAGTCCCTTCCCCTCTCTGTGCTTCATTTTCACTATTTGTAAAATAAGGAACTTGAACTTGACCCATGGTTTTTCAGTTGTGCTCTGGAGTCCTGCAGCCAGAACATTGACATACTTGGGTTCAGAGTGAGGTTTGGTTTGAGGAAAGGGTCTCCGATGCTAAGATCAGCTCTAGGTCATCTTTAGTCTAGCCTTTCCAATTCCAACATTGTCTGAGTTTGTGGCAGGAACAGTCTGGAGGAGCTGTTCCAACTGGCATGTCCTTAGCAAAGGAGATGGGAAATGGGCCAGGCCAGAGCAGAGCAAGATGGTCTTGGAGTCAGGAGAGACTTGGACCCATGCCACAGTATATGGATGACCATTTTACTATAGTTTTTCTTAGTTGTGTAACCACTTAGTGTCTTAAAGTAAGGTAGATGGAAGTGAGTGAAGTTATCTGGTTTCCATCTGGATCCCTTCTCTCCTGTTTACCCCCACTCCTTGTCCTAGGGATGTTCAACAGCCCAGAAATGCAGGCCCTCCTCCAACAGATTTCTGAGAACCCCCAGCTGATGCAGAATGTGATCTCAGCCCCCTATATGCGCAGTATGATGCAGACACTTGCCCAGAACCCCGACTTTGCTGCTCAGGTATTGAACAAGCACATGCTGGGGAAGAAGGTTCCCCAGACTGGGGGCAGTTTCTCGTGGTGGTTAAGAGCAAAGGCTCTGGAGCCAGACTGCCTGGGTTTGTATCGCCAGTTCTGCCACTTCCTAGCTTTGTGAGTTAAACGTGTTGTTTAATCTGTTGGCTTAGGTATAAAATTGTAATAATAATCCTTTTTACCTACTAGAGTTGTTATGGGGATTAAATTAGTTATTACATGTAAAATGTATAGAACGAGACATGGCACATAGTAAGTACTACGTCCTTGGAAGTCTTAGCTAGGGCTTCCGACCCAGGGCTGAGCATCCTGACTCTGGATACTCATCATCACCATCCTTGGAAAAGCTGGCCAGCTTTCTTATAGGAGTAGCTGGGGTGAGGCAGCCTGAGGATGTGGCGGAATTTTTAAGATGGAGATACCAGGCTTCCTCTTACTATCTTCACCTTGGCAGATGATGGTAAATGTGCCGATCTTTGCCGGGAACCCCCAGCTACAGGAGCAGCTCCGGCTCCAGCTCCCGGTCTTCCTGCAGCAGGTGAGTGAGAAGCCTAGAGAAGGCGGATATTGAGGGCAAGGGTTGGACTCTGAAGCCCAGTAGGTGAGACCGTGGGAGGGTGCCCAGAGCAGGGCAGAGCTTGGCTCTGGACTCCAGCTTTGACTGCCATCTCTTTCCTGCCACCTTCTGTTGCCTTTCTCCACTGGTTATCTATCCCCAGATGCAGAACCCGGAATCTCTCTCCATCCTTACCAATCCCCGCGCCATGCAGGCGCTGCTGCAGATCCAACAGGGATTGCAGACCTTGCAGACCGAGGCCCCCGGGCTAGTACCCAGGTAAGGTAGACAGATGGACAGCTAGGTTCTGACCACTCCTTCCCTTCAGCTCCTCTCTGCCACTCCCTGAGCCTGCTGTCTCCCTGGCAGCCTTTGTTCCTCTGAGGGTCTGTTTTCATATTTCTTGCAACAAGTGGCTTCCCTAGGGCTGGTGTCAGCCAGTACATGTAACTGACACACAGGCAACCCCCACTCCTGGGTGAGGGCTCAGCCTGTTCCCACCTCTATGGCTCCCCTCTCCATCCAATGGCTGGTGCATTGGGCCTGCCAAAATCCTGACTGGTTTGGGGGGAAGACAGGGGAGGACAAAAGGAACAGTGAAGAGTTGGGTGACAAGTGATGGGTGACCCCAACCCTAATTACCTCACTGCCTTGTGGCCTCTCCTACTATATGGCACCCCATACCGGCAGACCTCTCCTAGAGTCATCATTAACAGTGTCACTGGGTGAAATGCATACCACCACCACCACCCACTGTCCCCAACTGCTTTTCCTACTTAATGTTCCCTTTCCTGGAAGCCATCTCCCACTTCTGAAGTCTCTCACTCAGTTATCTTCCTGCCTGCAGCCTTGGCTCCTTTGGGATGTCCCGACCCCCAGCACCCTCGGCAGGCAACAACACTGGTTCCACACCTGAAGCCCCCAACTCCTCGCCAGCCACATCTTCTCCAACAGGGACTTCCAGTGCCCAGCAACAGCTCATGCAGCAGATGATCCAGCTTTTAGCTGGAGGTGGAAACTCACAGGTACCTGGGGCTAGGCCTGGGCCTCAGCTTCTATCCTAGTCAGAGTCAAAGAAAGCAGTAGGGTGGAGGCTGCAGAGCAGGCTTTGGAGGCAGCCAAACCAGCTTCAAAACCTGGTCTGTTACTGACTAGCCTCGGGCAAGTTACTGACCCTGAGTTCAGTTACAATCCAACTATAATATGGAGATGAGAATGGTAGTAGTGCTTAGTAGTACTTATCATGTGCCAGGTTCAGTTTTAAGTGCTTTATGTATACGAACTCACTTATTCCTCACAACAGCCTCCTGAGGAAATATTCTGTTTTACAAAGAGTGGGAAATGAGACCTAGAGAGGTTAATTTGCGTGTCTGGGATCACATAGCCAGGAAGTAACAGAGCCAAGCATTCTGGCTCCCCAATTTATACTTTTACCATTATGTTATTCTTTGGAAATTTAAAGCATGCCCTCTCTCTAAGTCTCAGAACAGAGGAGTCTGGAAAGTGAGATGGCCCAAAATCAAGGCCAGGCGCTGTGGGGAGGAGTGGGGATGACCCTGGGTGAGTCCCTTAACCTTGCTGTGACCTCTGTAAAAGCCAGTCAACAAAAATGTGTCTAATGTGTGCCCAGCCTCTGAGCTTGGCACTGAGAGGGCTGCACCAGGCAGTCTTCAAGATCCAAAAAAACCAAATCCACTGCTATCAAGTCAGTCTTGACTCATCATGACCCTATGTAGGGCTTCCAAGGCTGTACATTTTTACAGTACAGAAAGCCTCCTCTTTCTTTCACAGAACAGCTACTGGATTCAAACTGCTGACGTGTGGTTAGCAGCCTAGTGTGTTACCTACAACGCCACTAGGGCTCCTTCTCTTCAAGTCTAACTTAAATTCTGTGAAGAAAAGCAACACAATGCTCTGGAAAGGACTTTTGTCCTGCAAGTCAGGGGCCTTATCAACAGGCAGGTAGACCTTGATTGCTAGGCTCCTTCTAGCTCTAAGATACTGTGTAGGCTTGTGCATCTCAAGGTCAGTGATTCAAACCCATCAGCTGCTCCTTGAAAACCCTGTATATTGGAAGGCACATAAACATCCCTTGTGAAAATATTTCCAGGAGATTATAGGAGTATTAAGAATGAAAAGCCTTCTCTTTTGTCAATAACTGTTGATCGGTTAAATAAAATTAAACAGGTTCTTTCTTGGAGCCCTTCTCTGCCCTTTAAAATTGCTATGTGAGAACTGCCAGGTAGGTATTTAGAGGAGTGTTTACCAGACTTGCTTTTTTTGTGTGTGTATGTAATATATATAGTAACAAAATGTTCCATATTTCAATAATCTTTTTACTCTTAGTGATCCTATATAGGGTTTCTAAGATTGTAAATGTTTACCTGAGCAGACAGCCTCATCTTTCTCCCATGAGTGACTGGATGCAGCCCACAGTACCACCAGTGTCCTTAAGTTAAATATGTTTATTAAATATGTTCATCATGTTTAAGCATACATCTTATTTGACCACAGAGCATTGGGCTCTTGGAATGCCTGTTAACATCTCACAGTGTTCATGGAAAGCAATTAGGAATACTTGTATAAGCGGATCTAGGCTCATCAGTTACTCTGAAGTTTTAAGAAAGATGCCCCCTCACTGTTGAACCTTGAGCTGCTAAGCACAAGATCAGCAGTTCAAAGCCACCAGTTGCTCTGTAGGAGAAAGAGGACTGTCTGTATCTGTAAGGATTTACATCCTCTCAAACCCAAAGGAGTAGTTCTACTCTGTCTTATCGATCTGATGGTAGTGGGTTTCTAGGTTTTTGACCCTGTCGTTATGACACATTGTTCAGTGACTTGAAATCCAGGATTCTGCCCTGGTTCTGTTTGCAGCCTACCCTCCCCCACCCCATTGGTTGACTCAGAACGCTGGAGAAGGCTGGGCCTCTTCCCTCCACTTTGAGCCTTCAGATTTAGATAGGCCTCTGAGGTTGGTCTAGAGCCCAATTCACAAGGTCTCTCCTCTCCAGGTACAGACACCAGAAGTGAGATTTCAGCAGCAACTGGAGCAGCTCAACTCCATGGGCTTCATCAATCGTGAGGCCAACCTGCAGGCCCTGATAGCCACAGGAGGGGACATCAACGCAGCTGTGGAGAGACTCCTAGGCTCTCAGCTCTCCTAATCCCTTGGCCTAGGCCTCCTGCCTTTCCCTTCCCTCCATGCCACTGTTTGGTTCTTCTGACTACCCCCACCCTCTGGAGCTTGTCATCCTTTCTGTTTTCTCCCTGTTCTCTCCAGACAGCAGAGTGACTTTAGAGGCATGGGCCCCAACCCTGTAGCTCTTTCTAAGACTTTGGGTTTTACTTCTACATCTCTTATTGAATCCTCCTTCCTGATCCTCCTTGAGCACAGCTATTTAAACAATTTTCAGTTTGTTTGATTGGCCCCACCTCCTTGGCCCACAATCACCGTTTGCAGTTTCCAAATTTCTTAGTGGCATTGCAGAATCAAAGGAGGAACCAATTGTCTGGTTTACTGGAACAGGGTCTTCCATCTGTACCATTAGGATTTTGCTTATCTTATGATCACTTTTGGTAACTTTTCCTCTTTCTCTCCTCTGACTCCCTCTTCCATGCAGCCTAACCTCTGCCAAGAAAAGGAGCATTGTTAGAATTTCACACTCTGAAGGAGGGGCAGGTGAAATGAGCTATCTCTGATTTTCTTCCTCACCTCCTGTTCTAACCCAGTACTTTTTCTTGGGTTCTGTTGGGACTTACAGGGGGAGGAGGAAGACACTGTTCTCCATGTCTGAAGGGGAAAATGAGGCACAGCCTTCTGGACAAGAAATGAACAAACCTGGACCAGCCAAATGCTGATAGGTGCTGAAAAGGAGGGAAAGAGATTTTCTGGAGGAAGGGAATGGGAGAGAAGGAGTTTGGAATTGACAGGGAATAGAAACACTAGTAGCTCTTTTAGATGGGAGAATTTAGGCCCAGGCCTAGCAAAGGAAACTTTGAGATGCTAATGGAATTTGAGGGGAAGAAAGGGGCTCAATGAAGCTTAAGAGTTATGGCTCATAAGGGGTCATATTGGCTCCATTTCCTCAAATGCACATGCTTATAAACATACATGCAGATACATTTCTATGAACCCAAAACATGTCTGTGTCCCCAAGGTACCAGTGTCTCGAGTCCCTCTCAAAAGACACCAAAGGAATTGAGATCTGTTCAGCTGTGGGGGAGTTGTGTGAGTGTGTGTATGCAGTGCATGTGAGTTGAGGTAGGAAGTGGGTTCTTTGTTGGTTTTGGTTCAGAGCTCGCTTACTACAGAGTGGGTAGAATGGCCAGTCTAGGGCAGGGATGGATACAGTCAGGAGAGCTTTGGGCTTCTGAGTGCTGGATAATCCAAGGGTAGTGTAGGGTACCACTTCTGAAGCTGTCAGGTTTTGACCAGCACTCCTATACCTTCATTCTGGTCATGTTTTAGGGAAACAGAAAAGAGACTCTCCCTCCAGAGGTCATGACCTTTGTCTTCCTAGCCCTTGCTCTTTCAGTTCTTCACTGTTTGCCTCCAGGTCAGAAAAGTCTGTTTGATGGTGGCAATGATGGCTTTGATCTGGAATTGGGCATTTGCTCTACTGGAGTACAAAGAAGGCTCATACTACCTCCTCCCTCTGCTACGTGGCCTAGCTGCTTGGAGGACCCATGGCTGAGAATATGGAGGCAAGAGGAACAGAATGTTGCTCCAAGTGGGAGAGGGTCCCAAGCAGTCCAGAGAGGATGTCTATGCGGCTTTCCCTCCCTGTTTCCCCTCAACTTCCACACTGGCCCTTGTAAATAAATGGCGTGGTCTTCATTGTGAGGGTGTCTTGGTATTTGTTTTCTGTAGGAGAGGCGGTTGGCTGAGGACAACTTGGTTTAGTGGATATAAAGTGGGATATAGAAGAATCGGAAGCTAAGCTTAGTTACAACAGGTGTTAAGAAACATTGAAAGTTAAGGGATAACTGATCATGAGAATATTAATAACCCATAGTTTTGGAATGAGAAGGATTGCATTCTTCCATTCCCATACTATAAAATATCCAAGTTTCTTTTTCTCCTTTGGTCAGGACTAGGAGAGAACTGTATGAAAAGTCTTGAGAAGGTAGTTAGGTCATTACCTCTGTACTCCAATCTTTGGGCAAGAGTGTCCTCTCCTCACCTGAGGTTAAAAGGTAAAAAAGACAAAATTCTTGTATCCAGATCTTATGTAAGTAAAGTGTAATAGTCTTGAGTTCTGAGACAACCTGGCTTTGCCACTAGTTGTGTGAACTTTGGGAAGTCATTTTATACCTCCAAGGTTTTTATGTTTTGTACAGTGAGGTGATGGATTAGGGTTCTGTGGTATAAGAATAAAACATTAGTGGGAGATTCCACTTCTGATAATGGTAGACTAAATACTTAAGATTAACATTCCCATTCAAAACTAAAAAAGCTGGATGAAATACTAGAACATCTGCAAAGCTTCAAAGGGCTAACAACATTGGTTGGGAACTCAGAGGAACTAAAAGCTGCCTATGACCTGAAGGCTTTTACTAATTGGGAAATGGTTGCTGAGAGGCTGGGCTGGGCTTCTGAGGGCCTTGTAGGACTAGGAACTTGAGGGACTGCTAAAGTAGAGACCCTAGTAAACAGTCAACACTTGGACTGAGATCCTTAAGGATGAACTGGGAGTAAACTAGTCCTCAAAACCTGCTGCGTAGCTTCTCACCTTTCTGGGTGATCCAGATAGTCAAACCTTGAGCTTGCAATAAAATGATCTCAAATTACAAGCATCTCAGGATGCTTGTCAGAAACATGCAAAAATCTCTGGAGGAAGGAAGCATCTTCCTAGACCTCAAACATTTTACATAAATAATTTTTCAAATACAATAGCTAATCATTACAGAAATTAAGGAGAAAAGGCAATGTGATTTGTAACTAAATGTAAGTGACAGACAATGAACAAACTCAGAAATTCCATATTACAGAAACTGAAACATCTACTTTGTATTTCGAGAAGATAAAAGCCAAGCTTGGAACTTTCAGCAGAGTACAGAGTATAAAACTGATATACCATAACTGAAAAAAGACCAAATTGAAATTCTAGCTGGAAGATACAATAAATAAAATTAAGGTTTTAATAAATTTTGAAGATGACTAGGCAGATCACTACCTGGACTCTCTACAACAAAGATATTGTTATGTGCCATGGAGTTGGTTCCGAATCATAGCGACCCTGTACAGCGTTTCCGAGGCTGTAAATCTTTACTGGAGCAAAAAGCCTCATCTTTCTCCTGCAGGACAGCTGGTAGTTTCAAACTGCTAACCATGAGATTAGCAGCCCGATTCATAATCACTATGCTACCAGAGCTCCTTGAGAGGCCAAACAAAACAGACACAAATGAAAATTCTGAAATCCTGAGCTTCAGAAGAAAGGTTAAAGAAGTGTATTGAGTGCTTGCTGGGAGAAGAAGCTGAGCAGGAATGGTGAGAGAGGGAGACTGACTGGTGAGCAGCCAGCCAAGTACAGTGCAGTCATCTGAGCAGCTTTGGTGACAGAAGGAGGTCTGGCAGAGCAGATTCACACAGGCAACAAGAAAGGTGTAGTTCCTTTCCCCCAATACTCCCTTGGTGACCAGAGGTGTGGCCAACTTCCACCCTCATACAGACCCTGTTCTTCTAAAGTTCTGAGTCACAGGGTTGAGAACCACACCAGTGTGAGGCAGAGGCCTACTGTGCTGCTTTGGTACCTGGATTTAGGTGGATCAGCGCTAGTCCTACCAAACCCAAAGAGCCACCACACCAGCATTTTACCAGTCACCCTGCTTCCTGCTGCCCGGTGGTCCTAACAGACATTGAAGCCAGCTCCATCAAGTGTCTCCATGAACTATATTGGATCGAATGCCCTGAACATAGGTAACACTCAATAGAAAACTCCATCTATGGCCAGGAATTCCTCTATCACATTCCTCCCATGCCTTTCTCCTGAGCTCCATGGCTTGCAGGAGCCCCCAGAATTTTCTTTCCAGGTCTAACAGCTGCACTGTTTTGTTTTGGGGTTTGGTTTTTACAGTTTGTTGTTTCATTATTTTTGTTATTTTTTTCCTCCTTCTTATCTTTCCATTCCCTTGAATTTTATCCTTTCTAGCTCTGCTTTTGGTTTTCCTTCTGTTTCTCATCACTCCTTTTTTTACTCCCTTTTGATCTTTCTTACTACTCTCCATTCTTTTCCACTACATTCATCTTTCCTCTGATAACCTCCCTCTTGTTGTATATTGCCTGCCCTTCACCCATGTTAACATGTGTCTACCCTCTAGCTCATGAGAAATTTTCCCTCCCCCCACCCCGTAACCATCATAGATTGTTTCTTTTATCAAGAAAGTCTTTTCTTAACTTTTTGCATTGGTCTCATACAATATTTGTCCTTTTGTGACTAGTTTCACTCAGCACAATATCCTCCAGGTTCATCCATGTTGTGGGTGTTTCACAAATACATCGTTATTCTTCAATAATGTGTGTTATGTAGCGGTAAACTACCAGAGGTTCAAGCCGGATTCAGAAGAGAATGTGGAATGAGGGATATCATTGCTGATGCCAGATGGATCTTGGCTGAAAGCAGAGAATACCAGAAAGATGTTGCCTGTGCTTTATTGGCTACACAAAGGCTTTCAGTTGTGTGGATCATAACAAACTATGGACAGCATTATGAAGAATGAACACTGAATGGTTCAATATTAGGAAAGGTGTGCATCATGGTTGTATTCTTTTACCATGCTTATTCAATCTGTATGCTGAGCAAATAATTTGAGAAGCTGGATGATATGAAGAGAAATACAGCATCAGGGTTGGAGGAAGGCTCATTAACAACCTGCGATATGTAGATGATACAACCTTGCTTGCTGAAAGTGAAGAGGATTTTGAATATTTGCTGATAAAGATCAAGGACCACAGCCTTCGGTATGCATTGCAAGTTAATGTAAAGAAAACAAAAATCCTCACAACTGGACTGATAAATAACATCAAGATAAATGGAGAAAAAATTGAAGTTGTCAAAGACTTCAGTGTGCTCGGATCAACCATCAACACTCATGGAAGCAACAGTCAAGAAATCAAATGATGGATTGCATTAGTCAAATCCGCTGCACAAGACCTCTTTAAAGTGTCCAAGAGCAAAGATACCAGTTTGAGAACTAAGGTGTGCCTGATTCAAGCCTTGTATTTTTAGTAACCTCATATGTATGTGAATGTTGGACAATAAATAAGGACAACCATAACTCAGTTGATGCATTTGAGTTATGGTGTTGGAGAAGAAAATTAAAAGTACCATGGACTGCCAAAAGAACAATCTGGTTGGAAGAAGTACAGCAAGAATGTTCCCTAAATGCCAAGATGGTCATTTGAAGTATGTCTCTCATACTTCAAACATACTATCAGGAAGGACCAGTACCTGGAGAATGACATCATGCTTGGTAAAGTAGAGGGTCAGCAAAAAACAGGAAGACCCCCAATGAGATAGATTGGCACAATGGTAGCAGCAATGGGCTAAAGTGTCGCAATGGTTATGAGGTTGGCACAGGACCAGGCAGTGTTTCTGTTGTGCGTAAGGTCGCTATGAGTTGGTACTGACTCAATGACACCTAACAACAACAATAATGACAATGGTACAAGGACACAGGAACTCCATATAATAAGCACTGGGCTGTGAACCACCAGGTCTACAGTTCCAGCCTGGCAGCTGCTCCGAAACCCTATACAGGGTCGATGTGAATCGGAACTAATATGATGGCACTTAACAACAGCAAATGGTGCAAAGTAAGGCATTGGTGAAAAATAAGTCTCCATGGATTGATGGAATACCAATTTAAATGTTTCAACAAAATGATGTAGTGCTAGAGTTGCCCACTAATCTATGTTATTCATCTGGCTAATCAATTGGAAGAGATCCATATTTGTGTCCATACCAAAGAAAGG